TAGGTTTGGATAATATATTTCTTTTGTGTATTTTCTGTATAAAGTGTTTTACAGACCATTATTACAGCAAAGAGGCTGTTATGATAAAAACTTCAGAAAGAATAGCCCAAGACAGTGATAAAAAGATTATTTAAAAAATAAGGTGATGCATTTCTGCTTGATTTTCTTACAAAAGAACCGCTGAAGCTTTTACTGAAATTGAAGTCTAAGATAGCATTTATTCTGATGTCCTTCAAACCCTCCTTGTCCCCTCATCTAGACCATCAAGTTATAAAATAATAAAGAACACCTAGGAAAGAAGTAATGGAACGGGAAATTTTGTTTCTTTGAACTAATCAAATACATAAGAAAGCAAAGATCTTACCTGTGTTCAGACACTGCAGTTGCTGCAAACTGTAGCTGAGCCGAAAGCAAAGCACTTCATGCAGGTTGTCACAGCTCGGTCTGCGAAATCAGCATGAGAAAAAAGGTTCAAATTCAGGGGAAAGAGGGAGAGAAGAAGGAAGAGGTGAAAACTGGAATCCCATACTACATACTAGCAACTGAAAAAGAAGATCAGGAATAAAAGAGACAGACAAGCCTGAAAAAAATCGAAATAGTTTGACTGGAGGCTGAGGAGCTGGTGGTGATACCTGAAATCTGGGAATATTCACATTCAAGTGGAAAAGCAGTAAAGCTCTCAAGGCAACATGAGTCAAACCAGAAAAGCTTACCTTTCTTAGGTAATCCCAGCTATTATTCCTAGCCTGGACTTGCCCAAATCTAACCTTGAGGACAAATTCTTTTTAGCAGCCTGTCAGTTACAAATAAGTTCAATTCAAATCTGGCGCTTAACAGTTCATTTTCCTGACACTCATAATTTGCAGTACTTTTATCTCCATTCTGAAGCAGGAACACCTCTGCTCACATCTACATTGGAAGAAAAGGGTATGATTAAAAGCTGAGTAAAGTGTATCCCCCAGACACGGTTTGTAGATCATTGCTGAGGAAAAACTCGCCATGACAGCAGTTTTTCAGGTAATCATCATCTCATCTAGTTTCTTTCCCCAGATCCAATTTATGACTCCTGCAGCGTTTCAAAGCAATCTGCCAGGCACCAGCATGAAGGACTCGCCAAATACCTTAGAAAACAAACAGCAACCTCCCCTCCCACCCCAGCCAAACAAACACAAAAGGACTTCTTGGCAGCAGAGACTGCCAAGGGAGTAAATAATACAGAGGCTACCTCAGGATCACATGCACATACAGAATTACCAATTACCTGGGAGTGATCATGGCCTCAAATCATATGTACCTACAAGTCTTAGCAAAAATTACCTGTTCCTCCCCTCTGGCTTAGCTATTACAATGCTTTCTCAAAATTTACTTTTTTTTTTTTTTTTCCTAAAAACAAAGTAAAGGCAAACCACTCCCGTGTTACTTTTGGCAGAGACTGTACTTCTAAGCAAGCATGACACTGCATTATGAAGCAATAAAGCTGAAACTTCACTTCCTTACGCAATACTATTAAGTCCTGGAAGAAGCTCAAAGATTGTAGGTGAATAGTCATGGCTCTGCTGCAAGACTTTGCTACCCTGCACTTTGTTACAAGGTTGTAATTCCAGCAGAGGTTCAAAAGAGCAAGTTCATATGAGGAGGTGAAAAGGGAAGCAATACCTTCACTGAAACAGGTCTGTTGCCCTTCAGCTCTCGGAAATTGCATATAGTGAGATTCTTTAGAACAGTAACAAAAAAAGAAGCAGGAAGTCGACAAATAGGAAGATGGGATTGAGTGCACTCTCAGCAATTTTGCAGATGACACCAAATTGGGTGGGAGTTGATTTGCGGGAGGGTAGAAATGCTCTGCAGAGGGGTCTGGACAGGCTGCATCGATGAGCCAAAGCTAATTGTATGAGGTTCAACAAAGCCAAGTGCTGGACCTTACCAAGGGGTTCACAACAACCCCAGGCAGCACTACAGGCTAGGTGGGGAAGGTGTCTGGGAAGCTGCCCAGCAGGAAAGGACCTGGGGGTGCTGGTCGACAGCAGCTGAACATGAGCCAACAGTGTGCTCAGGTGGCCAAGAGGGCCAATGGCATCCTGCCCTGGATCAGAAATACAAGCAATTCAGTGTGGCCAGCAGGACTTTGGCAAATGATCACTCACCTGCACTGGTGAGGCTGCACCTCAAATTCTGTGTCCAGTTCTGGGCTCCTCACTTTAAGAAAGACATTGAGGTGCTGGAGCAAGTCCAGGGAAGGACAATGGAGTTGGTGAAGGGTCTGGAGAGTAAGTCATACGAGAAGCAGCTGAGGGAGTTGGGGTTGTTCAGCCTGGAGAAAAGGAGGGTCAGGGAAGACCTTATCGCTCTCTACAACTACCTGAAAGATTATAGCCAGATAGGTGTTGGTTGGTCTCTTCTCCCAGGTAACAAGTGATAAGACAGGACTAGAGGAAATGGCCTCGAGCTGTGCTCGAGGTTTAGATCAGATATTATGAAAGTTTTTTTCACATCAAGAGTTGGAATAGGCTGCTCAGGGAAGTGGTGGAATCACCATCCCTGAAAGTGTTCAAAAAACATGTGGATACGGCACTTGAGGACATGGTTTACTTGTGAACATGGTGGTGGTGCTGGGTTGACTGGAGCTGGACTTGATCTTAAAGCTCTTTTTCAATCTTAGCAATTCAGTGATTCTATGGGACACTGCAGGTGATGTGGGCTGACAAATCAAGCTGAAACTTCTTGAAGGGCCAGCTGTGCTTCCCTGGTCACTGCACAGCACTCATCAGATTCTTTCAAGCACTCTTTTTACTTCTCCCTTGCTTAAATGTTGATACAGGCCAAACACATATTGCAACATCAGTAAATGTAAAATTTCATCAAAGAGACATACTGCAGAACACTTTTGCTTCATGGATTTGCAGCAACACCCCTTTGCAGCATAAGCATCTTTTGCAGTGTAGTGTAGTAAGTGCAGTCAGAAGGGAAATGACAAACATGTTTTCAAGCCCCAGCCACCCCTCTGAGGCTTCCTCCTGTACTTCTGTAATATTGCAAGGGCAGATTGATCCTTGAACAAGTTCCTGCTCGTAATATGTAGATTGATCCTTGAACAAGTTCCTGCTCGTAATATGCACAACTAGCTTCTCCCTCAAGACAGAAACTTGCTGCTCCAGCCCACTTAGCATACAAAAGACATACCTGTTATCTGTTAACACTCCAAGAATTCTGCAGTATTAAGGAGACTGAGATGGATAAATGAAAAATTAAAAGGACATGAGGAAAAAAAAAAAAAGAGGGATATCAAGGAAAGTTGAAGAACCTGGAGTGGAAGAGTGCAAGCACAGAGAACTGATCAGCACAGCATCTGGAAAATGAGGCCTGAGGGCCTCCCTACTGCTGCAGCACACATAGGCTGAGCATGATACTTTACTCTTGTATTCTACCCTGACCATGGCAGGAGGGTTGGAACTAAATGATCTTTCAAGTCCCATCCAACCCAAATAATTTTATGATTCTCTGATAATGTGCATTATACCACATGTACAGCAGATACTTCCTAGCTCTGAAGTCACAAGTAGGTATTCTACTTGTAAAGGTACAAATATGGTATAGCTTCAGTAGTTTGTGATATGAGTATTTTAAGAAAAAGAAAGTATTTTATTTTTGTAAGTACAAGATACAGTGTAGTACAAGCAGCCACCTCTAACAGAAGAGAACCAGGACCTCTCCTTCAGGCAAGAAACATGCAAGCACATTTGCCAGAGACAGCAGATTTTTTTGTCTGTTAAAAATGATTAAAAAATCGTTCGGATCATTTTCAACCCGTCAAATAAAATGTGGCATTTGATGTGGCTGTATAGTTACACAGCATCAATCTGATTTGTCTCCATACTTTACAATAATTTTTCTCAGTATGGTGTTCAGATGTTAGCAAAGAAACAGCTGATAAGAGAGCATCAAGTTCTTCTGGCTGCAGTACCTCCAGCAGCAGTGCCTTAAACAGCAGCATCCAAGGTAATTCCTGAAGTGAGCAAATACACGATATTTTTTTCTCTGTAATGTAGCCCTGCAAGCTGAGTTATTTAAAATTATTAAAATAACATTAAACTCGATAGTTCAGGACAGTAAGTTTTACAGCAGACCTCAGTGGTCAATGGTCACTGTCCAGCTGATAGTGCAACACCGGAGCTCTCCTGCAAAATCCTGGTCTATTTATACAGCACAGCTACAGGAAGCTCAGGAAAGAGCAAATGCATCCAGCCGACTTTGCTTTCCCGCTCTAACCGACGCGGCAAGACATAGTTAGACAACTCTTGTTCTTCCAGTAACACGCACTCACAAATTTTGAACAAGTTCTCCTTACTCTGCTTGAATGGAAGCAATAGATTTGAACAGGCACAGATGGCTTTTTCTTTTTTTTTTTTCTTTTTTTGGAAGGGGGGGAGGGGGAGAACGGGGCGGGATAGTGGTGTAGTAGGAACGCATGTCCTAAGTATAGAACCGCACTTCCTTCATTTTAGACGGTTTCAGGGCGGTACAAAGACACCTCCCGCCGCAGCCCGGAGCCGCTGCACTCCAGCTCCTCAGCCCCTCCACAGAACCCCCACGACCGCCCGAGAGCCTTCTCGCGCTGCCCCATCGCCCGCGGGGCTCGGGCCGCCCTCCCTCACGGGACCCACACCCACCATTTCGAGCCCCCCGCCCCCGCCATTTCGCGCACCCCGCCCCCGCCATTGCCCGAGGGGCCCCTTCTCGGCCGCGCCCGCCCGCCCTCCTGGCCACAGTACAGCAGTGCTCACCCCCACCCAGCAGCGACGGGAACACCCCCAGTGCCTGCAGCGGAAAGGAGGCGCTGCAAGCCGTGCTGGGGCCGCCATGAGGCACCGCCTCTAACGGCCCGGGCGTTCGGCGCCAAAATTTGATCGTGGTGAGCGGCGGGAGCGGCTGCGCCCTGCGAGGCACCGGAATCGACGAGTGGCACCGGGATCGACGAGCGGCACCGGGATCGACGAGCGGCACCGGGATCGACGAGCGGCACCGGGATCGACGAGCGGCACCGGGATCGACGAGCGGCGCCGGGATCGACGAGCGGCACTGGGATCGCGGAGCTGCCCCGGAGGTGGGCGAGTGAGGCGCTGCGGGCGGGCAGGGGAGCGGAGCTGCACGCGGCAGGGAGGGCTCCCTGGATCGGGTCCCGGCGGGGGCCGTGGGACAGCGCGATGCCGGCAGCGGGGACCGGGAGGGGGCTGTGAGGGGTCCGTGCTCTCAGTGCCTCAGAGCCGGGGCTGCATCTTCACTGGGATTCATCCCTCGGGGACGGTGGGGCTAAGCAGGCGTAGCAGTCCGGCAGGCGGGAAGTGGGGGCTCCGCTTCTGAAACACCCGTGCCTTTCCTTCCCCTTCGCTGGCTGGCGGGTAGCTTGGTGAAAAAACGGGGGTTTGCCACCAGTCTTCATACAAGTGTCGTGATGAGCTTTGTGTAAAGTCACTTCTCTTAGAAATGCTGAACTACAGGTTATTGTGGGGATGCTGCCTGGATCTGGGGTCCACTTGGCATTTCTCGTTTTACAAATGCATGATATTTTAGTTGTAAAAGTCATGTGTTCTTACCATTTGCTCACACGTATTACTGTTTGTTTGGCATGCAGTATGATTAATTTGCTAATTCTTATTTCTTTTATTCTTTGAAATATATAAGGTCATAATCCAGATAACTTTCTTTGTGCTACTCGGAGGAATACTTTGCCTGGTCCCTCAGGGCCATAGAGAAGATGTACATCAAGTCAATTGTTCTGGAAGGATTTAAATCCTATGCTCAAAGGACCGAAGTTCGTGACTTTGACCCATTATTCAATGCCATTACTGGCTTCAATGGTAGTGGCAAGTCCAATATCTTGGACTCTATCTGTTTCGTGTTGGGAATCAGCAATCTGTCACAGGTAAAGGGACAGGGCATTTAAGAAAGGTCTGTCTTCTGTTAGCAACGTTTCATATTATTATAATGAATATCTCCAATGGAAGACCTGAAGTGGTGCTTCTTGGAAAAATAATTTTATTTATTTGGATTTTTCAATGCATGAAATTGGGTCTCTGACATTGTTTCTCATTCTTACTCTAAGGTTGAATTACAATTTCATCGGTACACTACAGTCATGAATAGTATGTGGCTTAGAACAATAACCTAAAAATACCCATTTAAAAGGTAGCAGTCTCAAACCCAAGGTCTCTTGCAGCTAGTCACCAACTTGTTTATTTGTAAATAATTTTTTCAGTTCTGGATTGGGTCTCAACATTTGGCCATCTGGTTCACAAGAAAAAAATTTAAAAATGGTTTTCATGCAGTGCCTGCTATTTAAGAGATGATATATCTGCTTTATTCTTATAATAAAATTGATATCTCTGATGTCAATTTGAATCTGTATCTTGGGATGATTTTTTGATTTCCCTTCTTTTCCACCATCTGCCTACCCCCAGATGTAGACACATCCAGGAACACTTTCTGAATAATTTCCCTGAGAACTGCATTACAAATAATAAATGCTCATTAAATAAATGTACTGGTGACTGGCTTTTTTTTAACATCTATTCAGTGTTTGTCAGAAACCTCATGCAGAAGCAATTAGCTAACTAGAACTAGAGTTGCACACTCTACTTGGGGTTTTAGAATAATACACCTTGCAGTTCCCATGTATCAGTTCACATGAACTCTTAAGTATGCAGGTAGATCTTCATTTTTTTCCTTAATTTTTCCAAAACCTACAGTACACTGAAGCTGTGAAATTAATTTCTTTCAAAAAGGTATTTATCTGTTCTATGGATTTAGGTGCGAGCTTCCAACTTTCAAGATCTAGTTTATAAAAGTGGGCAAGCTGGAATTACAAAGGCAACTGTGTCAATTACCTTTGATAATTCGAACAAGAGTCAGAGTCCACTTGGATTTGAAGCTAATGATCAGATTATCGTGACTAGACAGGTGGGTCTTTAATATCTGTATTGTTCAGTAGCCTAAATACATTTTTGCCATGCTCAACAGAGTGACTGGTCAAGGACAAAAACCGGGTATTTTTTAAAGTCCCTGAGTTTCTGCAATTACACAGTGTCCTTAGCACAACTGCAGGAGTAGATCCAGTGTACTAGATAAAAATGTTCATAACGCAAGTTCTAATTTTATATTCAGTGTTTCGATTTTACTTCTACTTCCATATTTTCCACTTAATATCTGAACTGTGTGTTAAATTTGTTCTCCAAGAACAAAGGAAACTTTATTTTTCTAATGAAGAGGTTGGAGATTTGGTTTGGGGTTTTTTGTTGGTTTGTTTTTTGGGGGGGGTTGGGGTTTTTTTGGTTCTTTTTTTAAAGAAGTGTTTTTGGAAATTTTCTTGTAGTATTGTCCTCAATGACTAATCTTATGTTTTAGTTAAATATTTTAAATGCCTCTTCAGTCCAACAAGGTCTGTTTTGATGTTCTGTATAGTGCACACATACATGTGTACACAAAGATGTAGTACATGTGATTTGCTCAGATTTTTTATGTATTGTTACTTAAAGTTTCTTTGTTTTCTCTTCTTTCTCCAGGTTGTCATTGGAGGTAAAAATAAGTATCTTATCAATGGTGTGAGTACTACCAGCAATCGTGTGCAGGATCTCTTCTGTTCCATTGGACTCAATGTCAACAATCCTCACTTCCTCATTATGCAGGTATTGTGTGCATCTTTATAAAATCCAGAAAGAATAGAACTTGCACTAAATTTGAGGTAGGATAGATAGCAGGAAAACACTTGATATCCTAACTGAAGCAACATCTTACTGAGTAAAATTGAAATATCTGTTAAGATTTCCAGTACAGCAGTTTGACCCTAAAACACGCTTGTAGCACACTGTTAGCAAGATTTTCTAAAATATATTCCAATTTTATTTTCTTTTTTTTCTCTTTAACAGATATGTGTTGCTTTTATTATTATGCTAAAATTACAGAGATTTTATTTTGTATTATATGTGTTCAGTGTTAGACAATATTTTGATATATGTGCCTTCTTAAGTCAAAATTAAGGAAAGAAGGCTGACCAATTGAAAAGTCTCTTATAAACATCAAAACAGGGACTAGGCAAATCCCTGAAATATTTGCAAGGAATAATAAAACAGATGAGGATTTACTCTGTCAAATGTAACTGTCCCAAATTGAGTGGGGGGGTGGGATATGGTGACAGTTATGTACATATTTTGCTTTTCCCCAGTTACATGTGAGCTACATCTCCAAAAGAATCAGTTTATGATTAGGAACTTATTCAACATCAGCAACTCAGTAAGACTCTAGAACAAACTCCGTGCTTTACTCCTTTAAGTTGTAATTAGGAATGTGGAGGACGAGCCTAAATATGAGCTTAAAATACCTGTGATGACCATTTCAAGCTTGCTAACTGAAAGTGTGACTTATTTAACTTTGAATAACCAAACAATTCAGTAAACTTGATTATCCTTGTAGAAAAAAAAAAAGTGTTTGAACTTAAAATACAATAGTTTTGGTTGGGGTTTGGAGTTTTGTTTTTTCTTATTACTACTGCATGGTACACAAACACTGTTCTTGTTTTATCTTTCTCTCACCAGGGAAAAATTACCAAAGTTCTGAATATGAAGCCACAAGAGGTAGGAAATTTGTTGGAGTTATTTTGTCTGAAGTTTTACTGAATTGCTTTGAATTACAAGAATCCATATTTTGGGAGGGGGACAACAAAAATAAAGGTGTTGGAAGGAGATGAGATGTCCAACTGAATTGAGCAAATCTAGCATAAGAAGAAACATCCAATTTTTGTTGCATTGCTTAATTTTAGATTTTAGCCATGATTGAAGAAGCAGCTGGTACTAGGCTGTATGAATGCAAGAGGAACGCTGTCCAGAAGACCATAGAGAAGAAGGAATTCAGACTGAAAAGCATTGAAATGGTACTACATTTTGGAAAGTATAGTTTCTTTCATATTTGTTAGAGATAACTGAATAATTAGTTTAGTGTGCTTTCTAAGTTGATGAATATTTCATTTCACCACCCGGAACTAGATAGTCATGCTTACACATGTTTAGATTTTTAAAAAATCAGAATATAAATGTTCTGTTATGTGTTTCAGGTCCTAAGTGAAGAGATCAGTCCAACTTTAGAGGAACTGAGAGAGGTATGGAAAAATTAAAAGTGAGATAAAGTAGGTCTTTTAAGCACTAAAAAAATACTTTCAGCTGCCCTGAACCAGTATGTGTTGGCTAAAACAATAGTATGTTTTCAAGCTTTGTAGAATCGTTTAAGAGAGAAATGTTATCATCTTTCCAAATACAGAGAATGTGACATTCAGGACATCTAAGAGGTCCTAGAGAGAAATGTAGGGAGAAGGAAGAAAACAAAAGAACTAGATAAAATTAGAATATGAAAACATGTCTTAGTTCTTAAAAAAACTGGGTCCAGTGGTATTTCTGCTGTGCAGTCAATTATATTAACATGGAGAATCCTTTCTCTTACCTACAATCCTTTCTCTTACCTACAAATACTTATGTTTAGAAGTGCTTAGAAGATTTCTGTAACAGTCATTATTTTCCTTCAAATTTTAGAGCGTTTTGGTTTGGGTTTTTTTTTTGGTCTTTTCAGGGACGAGCAGCCTATCTAGAACATCAGAAATTAGTACGAGAAGCAGAACATTTAAGCCGCTCTTGTGTAGCTTATCAGTTTTTTCAGGCTGAAAAAACAAAAGAATCCTCCAGTGATCAGTTAAAGGAAATGCAAGCTAATATAGAGAAATTTCGTGAATCAAAGGCTGAATCAGAACAGAGGGTGAAAAAACTTAATGAAGATATAGTGGAGATGGAAAAGGAGAAGGATAAGGTAAGTGAAAACAGTTGTGCTCATCTGAATACCTGAATATAAAGAATTTTATGACATGGGAATAATTTTTACAGATAATACACCCTTGAATTTTTATCTTCTTCTGGTGGGTTGCTTAGATTACGCACTATTCATTGTTGTTCTTGGCCATTGTCTAGAAGACATAATTTTAAAATTTTTTAAATCTGAAATGGTTTACTTCCAATTGCTTTAAATGAAAAATAACCAAAGCATAGAAACTATGCCCTCATATTTTCATCTGTGCATTCAACGGTAAGTTTTGCCAGACATTTTTTTCTCCCCTTTTGTTTGTGTTTCAAAGAAAAAGAAAAGGAAGCTTTTTATAAAAAAAAAAAAATCAGTATTGACTTCATTTTTGGAGGCAGTAAATTTGATTAGATACAATGGTCCATAGGGGTTTTGGATGTCTAAATCCAACTTCTGTACAGGTCCCATCATATGGAGTGATGTGGGTCTTCAACAGTAGCTTCAAGTTAGGTTGAATTTCCCAGACAAGAAATATTCTGACCTGTTTGTATTGAAGTCTAACTGCATGCTTGGTCAGATGTCATTCTATGTAAAGCTGTCAACAGAAGATGAAATATTTACAGGTACTGTATCAGTCTCAGAGACTAAATTAACTTTCCTTTATTACTGATTGTAGAAAGTTGGAGGTATACTCCGTGAACTGGAAGCTGCTCTTTCAGAAAATCAAAGAGTTAATACCAAAGCACGAAGTGCCCTTGATCTCAAGAAGCAAAACTTAAAAAGTGAAGAAATAAAGTGCAACGAACTGGTAACACGTATGCAGAAGGTAAGATATTTGTATATAATTTTCTTTACATGCTAAATTAATTCAGATTGTGGGTACAACTGTTTTTTCTTGTCTGTTATAGTAAGAAAAATCCTGTGATGGGTAAAAAATACATCAGGAAAGCAGAAATAAATGTTAAGGACATTGTTTGTGCAGCATAAGGTAGTAGGCTCCCATTAGTAACGGACATGATGCAGATGCAAAGCAAGTGCAATAGAAAGTTCCCAACCCTCTATTAACCTCAGGAGAGATTGCTATAATTTCAAATTATTATGCTCTCTGAACATAAGTTACTCTTAAAATTAAATGAGAAATTTCTACCTTGTGTATTTCTGGCAGTTGATGTTTTTTATGCAAGAGAAGCACTGAAGATCACTTTTTAGATATTGGAAAGAAAGAGATAATTCCTAAAGTTTTTGGGCAGTTGTCATACTTTCTGTATTTCCTTTGTAGATCTTTAGTGCACTTATGGGGCAAGAACACATTTGAAAACATGCAAAGACATATTGTAACATTACAAAATTTGATAAAGGGCCATAGAAATGTAGTTGAAACTACTTGTAGTTCCTCATCTACACATGAATTTCAAGTTAATGGACTCGGATTCTCTTTTCCTTTTTTGTTTTTGTTTTTTGTTTTGCTGAAGGACTCTAAAGCACTGGTGTCAAAGGAGCAAGAACTAAAGAAGAAAGAGAAAGAACTAAATGCTTTAGAGGAAGAGAGTGAAAAAGATGCAGATGCTTTAGCTGCAGCACAGAAACGTTTCAATGCTCTGTCTGCTGGTGTATGCAACAATAACAATGGGGAAGAAGCTTCTCTTTCTGAGCAGATGATGATCTGCAAAAATGAAATTAGCAAAGCAGTAACGGATACTAAACAGGTAAGAATAAAAGCTCTGCCTGTCTCAGACCTGCCTTCATACTTCTTCTAAACATTGGCTGAAAACTCAGTGACGCTTGAAAGGTCAATGAAAAGAGAAGCAGAATATCTATGCCAGATATTTTACATTTTAGCATATGCATTAAGGTAATTTCTTGCTAAAATATAAACAAAATATCCTTGCATAGGAAAAAGCTGTAATATTGCTATGAGGAAGTATAGAAACTGGCATTTGAGATATAAAGGAGGAGTCACTGTACTTAAATGTTTGATGGTATTTGATAGGAAAAAAAATAGACTGCTGTCCATGATACATGTTCATACTAAGAGATTTCTGCAGTAACTTAATGGAATCAGAACAAAGGTGCCTGAGACTGTGAATGGAGAGTTTAGAAGAAACTTTCCTCCTCAGCTAAATTGTGTGCTAGTCACATGACTGAATGCCATTTCTTTTGTCTCAAGGCAGGAAACCTCTGCTGGGATAGTTCTAGCAGTGGAATTTAAATTTTCAAAGTTGAAAGTGTACCTTCCTTGTCTCAATTCAGGAAAAATTCTTCAGTGGAAAGTAACAAGAATGGACCAGCTGTATCCCATGTTATTTTACTTTGTTCCTTCTCAGGCTTTATTCATGTGCTAATATGTTACCGAAGGATCAAGGTTTTTATGTCCAAATAACCTGTGCCATTATTTTGAAAAGCCAAGGCTGCTTTTTGGCATATCTGCAACCAGTGGAAAACTTTACAGATTTGTTGGTGCAAGTGTTCCAAGTCTGCACCTGCCAGATTGTCTTTGAAGATCAGGTTTCATATCTGCTTACTCCTTACAGGCTCAAATGAAGTTGAATTACGCACAAAAAGAACTAAAGACAAAAGAAACTGAAGTTAAAAAGATGGATAAAGGCTACACAGAAGACCAAAAAGCATTTGAAGCAGTCGAAAAAATGAGAAAAACCCTGGAGAACCAAATGAAGGAGCTGAACTATACAGGTCTGTACAGACTTTGGGTGCAGAGTTTTGGGGGAATCTGAAAAGGGAATATAGAAGTGTCGTGAGTTGACCCTGACTGGAGGCCATGTACCCACTAAAGCTGCTCTATCAATCCCCCTCCTCAACTAGACAGAGGAGAGAGCATATAGCAAAAGTCTTGTGGGTTGAGATAAGGACTGGGAGAGATCCTTTGGCAATTGCTGTCACAAGCAAAACAGACTTGATTTTGGGAAATCAGTTAAACTTAATTTTCCAGGCTCTATTTCGTTCCTGATTTTCTGTAGCTCCTCTCTTTGAGCATTGCAGAGGGACAGAGAATTGGGGCTGCAGTCAGTTCATCACATTTTGCCCCTGCTGCTCCCTCCTCTTCAGGGGGAAGATTCACACCCTTTCCCTGCTCCACTTTGGGGACCCTCCTATGGGAGACGGCCCTCCACAAACTTCTCCAACTTGAATCCTTCTCATGGACCAGTTCTTCACAAAGATGACCCAGCATGGGTCCCTCCTGTGCTGTGCAGTCCTTCAGGAACAGACTGCTCCAGCGTGGGACCCCCGTGGGGTCATGGCCTCCTTCAGGCATTCACCTGCTCCTGCATGGGGTTCTCCATAGGCTGCAGAGGATTCACTCTGCTGCTGTGAACCTCCATGGGCTGTAGCTGGAAAACTTGCTTCATCATAGTCTGTACCATGGGCTGCGGGGGAATCTCAGCTCTGGCACTTGGAGGACTTCCTCTGTGTCCTTCACTGGCCTTCGTGTCTGCAGGGCTGTTCCTTTCACAGATTCTTACTCCTCTCTCTCTGGCTGCTGCAGATTGATTTGGGTCTTTTTCCCCTTCTATAATATGTTATCCCAGAGGTGCTACCACCACCACTGGCTGGTGGACACAGAAGTGAAGGAAAATAAAAGCATCTAACTCTCTGCTTCCCATCAGGAATCAGGAGGCAACATCCAACCACTTCCTGAGAAGTAGGACCTCAGTATGCATATGGGCTGTTTTGGAAGGCAAAGGCTTTAATAATGGATGTTTCCTCCCCCCCTCCTTTCTCTTAACTTCTACTGCTCAACATACCTTTGCATAATATGGAATATCCCTTGAGTCCCATATCCAGGCTATGCCCCCTCCCAACCTCTTGCCCACCTCCAGCCTGCCAGATTTTGGAAGATGGGTTGGAGCGACAGACAGCACACCATTCAGCAAAGGCCAAAACACTGGTGTTATACCAACTACTACTTTCTACTAGAAATACAAAGTACAGCTCTCTGTGGCTGCTGTGGGAAATGTTAACTCTATCCCACTCAGACCCAATGCAGGAGGGAAATGAAAAACCAAGTATTCTGTTTTCATGCACAAAGAAATTTCTCTGGTCAAAGCTCTGCATACTTGTACCTTCCACAGAAGGTAGCTTAAAATAATTTGATTTTATAAACTTTAGGCCAAGCGTTTTAAGGTTGGATGGAAAATTTAAATTCCAGCAAAAATTTACATGAATAAAGTGAACAGTGTCCCTGTTAACTCCTGTTTTTTCTCACCTAAAAGACTCCTTAAAGTTTGTTTCTCATGCCAGGTAAAGGATGTTCCAGACACTACTCAAAACTCAACTGATATTCCAGAATGGCATTTAGAGAAGCCCATTACACTTAAAACATTTTTTTGCATGTTTGGTATTGTGATGGTGTTAATTTGTCTAAACTGAAAATCTAGAAAGAATTTTAGAAAGTCTTTGAATTAAGTATTTGCTACATATGTGAAGATGCCAGTTTTTAAGCTGACAAATTTTCTGTGCTCTGGATGTATGCCTACTACCTGTGTTCAACTCTGAAGAAGAGAAAGAAGCAACCCTTCCAGCGAAAAAGAAGGCATTAATGTCTGAGATCAGCCGGCTGAGAGAATTGCTTGAAAGTTTAATGGCAAAGTTTCCTCATCTGCAATTTGAGTACAAGTAAGATCTCAGTGTCATCCTGAACAACGTGTGAAAGTGCTTTTTGGGGTCTTTTGTGCATGGCTCATGGGACTTAGCAGATAATTCCCCCAGTGGCTTAGATGTTGCTTTCCTGTTAGTGCCAGTGAACAATGACTGTCTTACCTGCCCTGCAAAGTGAAGACGGAGGCGGGGTGGAAAGTCAGGAAAAGTTACAGTCTTACTGAAGTCACTAGAACTTAGAAGTTTTGTCTAATGGTGTTTTCAAGTCATAACTTTAGTAGCTAAAGCCATAGAATCCAAGGGTCTAAACTGCAAAAATATGTAATCCTTATGAGTCCTGCCTGTGGCCAAGGTCAACACTGCCACCTGTCTCCACCAATCCAATACCTGTATCCAAAGGTTTATTTGTTTATATAATAGGCTGAATATACTCCTATACCTGTGGTAATAAGAGAACCCATTGCAAAAATCAGAAAGGACATTTGTTTAATGACTCTTTATTGGCAAATCTCTTGCCCTGAATTGTTGCATTTAACCATTTTCTGTGTGTTTGGTTTTCTTTTCTAAAAGAATTTAGAATTTCTTACACCAGTATAGTAGGCATCACGAGTTTTAAATATAGTATCTTTAAGATGTGTAGGAGAAAACCAACATGATTATTATATTTATTTTAAGATATCCAGAAAAAAATTGGAATCCAAGCAATGTGAAAGGCCTTGTTGTGACTCTTATAATTGTGAAAGATCTTTCCAAAGCAAAAGCCCTGGAGGCAGTGGCTGGAGGGAAACTCTATAACGTTATTGTGGACACAGAGGTAAGTTTATTGCTTTAGTACAGAACTCTGGATTTTGAGATGTGGTTGTGTGATTCAGGGTTGGCAATCATGTGCATTGTTACTGCATGTTTAGGAGGGGGTTTGAACCCACCTACATGTTTAAATTGGGTCAAGAGAGCTGTGCATAGTTAGTGGCAACAATGTATTCTTCTTCAAATGCCCCCTTGTCTGTCTTTACAAAATCAGATGTTTATTCAGGTATGCTTTGTAACTCTTTTCAGGTGACTGGCAAAAAGCTTTTAGAAATGGGTGAACTAAAGCATCGATACACCATCATTCCACTGAACAAAATTTCAGCCAGATGTGTTCAACCAGACACGGTCAAGCTGGCCCAAAGCTTGGTATGTGGATATATACACTATTTACACTATATTGCTCATGTCCTATTTTCATTTTGTGTCTATGTTGAAAACATGGGCTTCTTAATGGTTATACTAATAAGAATTTTTATAGGGTTTGAGAGTATATTGATTTTTTTCTTTTGTATCCTTTTAGCTGTGCAATTTTTAAATGGGTATTAATTATTTCACTAGTAACTGAAATAGTTTTAAAATATAATGATGCTTTTAAAAAGTGTTTTTATGAAAGAAAAGACAAAAATTAAGTTTGAAAATTCTTATAACTTGAGGCATACTAATTGGATTTTATTTTATTTCTAGGTTGGTCACAATAACTTGCATTTAGCCCTAGCTCTAGTTGCATATGAACCTGAACTGCAGAAAGCAATGGAATATGTCTTTGGGACAACACTGATCTGCAATAGCATGGATAATGCTAAGAAAGTGACCTTTGACAAAAGGATAATGACGAAAACGGTTACTCTTGATGGAGATGTGTTTGACCCCCAAGGCACTCTGCATGGAGGCAATTACTGGTTTTATTCATATAATAATATTGTGTGTCTGTTGATGTGTTTACTGCTCTGCATGTGTAGACTCATACTGGGAATGATATCATCTGTTTGAACTAAGATTGTCTTGAGCTGAAATATTTTTCCTTAATCTAATTAAAATTAATGGAAAACTATTTGCTTAAAGTAATTTAGATTTTAGATACTTAAATCTCGGTTCTATAATCCTCTTGGAAGGAGAGGTGCTTTATATTCAAGCACTTTTAAAAGTAATTCATAATGGATTTGAGATAATTTCATAGATTATGAAAAGTTAGTTCTTTGCACAAGACATGCATATGTGGTATTCAAAGCCTGCAGAACTAAGTTTTGTAACAGAGGAGAGAAGTCATAACTTTAGCCTAGCTGCCTTATCTGTTTTGCAACTAAGATAAATCACCAACCTGCATCATTGTTAATGTTTAGAATTTGCTATTACCAATGGTGAATCCACTAGTCTAATTCTTATTAGCCTGGCTTTTTGTTTTTTTTCACTGAACAGGTGCGTCCTTACAGGCTGCACCAATATTATCTAAACTTCAAGAAATGAAAGATATTGAAGCAGAACTCAAGGCAAAGGAATCTGAACTTGAGACTGTAGAGAATGAGCTGGCAAGCTTGAAGAAGGTTGCTGAAAAGTAAGGTTTGCACTATAAAATGTGTATCATTTCTCTTATGTGACTGAGTAAATTTAATATAAAGAAGTGTTTTGGGAGGCCACAGGGCCTGTTGAGAATGGAGAAATATGGAGATAATTATTCCCTTCCTCTCTCCCACCACAGTTTAATTTGTAAGTTCAGCAATCAAAAAGCAAATTTAGTTTTTAGATAACATACGCAAGAAAACTTTGCTGTGAGTAATACAGGGAAAAACAGTGATGTCTACTTGAAATCACTTGCGGTTTTCTAAAGTTTCATGAAGTACATTGTAGAATGGATCTGTTCAGCCATATTAACACCCATACAGAATTCCAGTTTGTGATATCTCTTACTTTTCTTGCAAGAAAATATGAAGATGCTAAAAAGGAGTATGAACTATTTAATGGTTTAAATTACATAATTTTGAGTAGATTTGATTCTTAGTTACTCAATTACTGAACGTATTTTTAAAAGATCTAATAGAAAAATGTGTTAGTTCTGCAAAAATGCATGAGAACTTAGTGTTGCATAGTATGCTATCTACTAGGTAGACAGCATTGTTTTGAGTTGCAGTAGACTTCCAGAAATATAGCCAAGAAGAAGGACTTTTGCTTTTAGATATTTTTTCTTCAATGTTTCAGCCTAGCATCTGTCGTGATGCTGGTTGAAAAACCAGTGATCTCTGAATTGCAGTTGTTTTTAGTATGTCTGATTGAGGCTACAAGGCAGGAGTTACATATATGATAACTTGCATACCTACAAACCTCACAATTACTATTATAGCAATTATATCAGACTTTCATTCATTTAGGCGTATTTGTCCTACAGTCATCACTATATCTCACATTAGAACAGGAATATAGGTATTTATTCACTTACTTCAACTTTGGAAGGGCGGTGCTGTGTACCCCTCGATTTACAGGAGTGTGTCACTGCTGTCTTCAAAGGTACCGGCAACTGAAGCAGCAGTGGGAGATGAAGTCTGAGGAAGCAGAGCTGCTGCAAAAGAAGCTTCATCAAAGTGCTTATCACAAACAAGAGGAAGTGCTGCTCTCCCTGAAGAAAACCATTGGTGACAAATGTGTTCTTACTCTTTTAACTGAAAATCAGCTGCTGAGAGTGAGATGGGTATCAGGCTGTTTGAGTTTGCTTAGTAAGAAAGCATTGAAAAGAAGGAGTGTTCATATAGCTAAGGAAAAACAAACATAAAAGCACAAAATGCAGCAACAAGTAAAACTTATAAAGACAAAAATCAACAGAAGTGATACATATCTAGACATAGTATTCTAGGGGTGAGGTATCTTATTAGGTAGCCATCTGATTAATTACTTCTTGATCATGTGATTTGGCATATGCTTGCCCCTGTAAAAAAAAAAAAAAAAAAAGAAAAAAAAAAGGCATATTTTCCTTAATTTTAAAGGCTGTTTGGTTCCCTACGAATAACTGGTAAAAACAGCACACTGTCTTAGGATAATCAGTGAAGTATCTGAATTCAGTAACTAGTGAGTGTACAACTTTTTTCTGTTGGGGGCAAATACAGATTTATTTCAGTTGGAGTTTAGGATGTAAATTTAAAGATGAAAATGATGCCCAGTCTCAGTACTGTTCTTCTCGATTCAGCGGAGTGTGAAGAGACATTAAACAAAACTGAAGAGAGAAAAAAGAAAGCAGAAGACAAATACAGGGAATTAGAGAAAAAAATGAAAAATGCAGAAGCAGAATATGCAGAAGAAAAAAAAAGTGCTGAGCAGGCACTAGCTGCTGCCAAGAAAAAGGCAGATGCTTCAAGCAAAAAAATAAAGAATATGCAACAGGTAAACCTTCACCTTTGTCGGCAGTTTTCTCGATGATAAAGTGGTTGCAGAGATCAGAAAGTTTGATTCTCCTGAGGTTTTAATACTGTCAGTTCTGAGACTTAATATACTACTCTGTAGTCACTGACACAGGAATTGCTAAAGTTTTTTGTTTGAGGGTTTTGGGTTTTTTTTGGTGAGATTGTCCCCTTGCTGAAGAATGGGTAGCATTTACTACATCAAACTGAATCTTAATTCTTTCTGTTTAAATACAACTGCAATAAATTGGAAAATGTCTCTTCAGGAAGTCAAAGCTTTAGTTCTGGAACTTGAAGAGCTGAAACAAGAACAGGCTTCCTGTAAACAACAGATAGCAGCTGCAGAGGAAGCAATCAAATCCTACCAGGAGCAAGTTGATGCTATGACAGCTGAGGTTGCTAAGGCAGAGGTAAATGTGAATACTGTGTTTCGTTATCCATTTTGATGTTACTGAAGGTGTGATCCCCTAAAACTCACATTAAAATGTATATTTTGCTCTTCAGATTTGCTTACCAGCACTCAATCTGCCCAGGTAGTTATTTTTTTTGCTTGGTTTTCACATGTGAATTTTTTTCTACTTGCTGTGTCTGTTCTTGTAAGGGTCTAACACCAGCCTTTATAAGAGGCTAAAAAATGCCTGTTTGATTTGCTTTTCAGGAATCTGTAGAGAAATCACAGAAGGAGCTGGCTGAACAAAAGGAAGTAATCATGTTACAGGATAATGCAATTAAAGAAAAATCTGAAGAGATGCTAAAATACAGAGAGCAAAATAATGAATTACATCTTAAGATTAAAGAATTAGAACATAACATCATCAAATGTCAACAAGAGGCTGCTGATGCTGCTGCCAAGGTATTTAAAAATGGTACTTTTCTTTCCATCTTGTGGCCAGGAGTGGTTATTTCCCTTGCCACGTGCAAAGGAAATACCCTTGTTTTTCTTAACCACTATCATTTGCAATCCTGGATGTAAAAACTTCTCCCAGGAAGACGGAGTGAAAATTGTACATTGTGTTAGAGGTTAATCTGTAGGGACTAAGGGGGAGTAGATAGCAGTGAGAAGGTGATCACTAAGAACAATCTAACTGTTTAGACAAATTACGTAACTAATTACAGAAGGCAAGATTTAGTGACATTAGTGTAGTCCAGATATAGAGAAAAAAGTGTTTCAATTAAGTAAGGTATATATGAAAGCTACCTTAAAATCTTGGTTTGTGTACAGTTAAGGAAATCACCTGAAGCAGTGTAAAAATACACACTTTTGCTGCATTGGGGTAGAAGAATTAATGTTATAGAGTAATTTTAGGATGTTGATTTGGGTTTTTTCTGTTATTTTATTCTTGCCATTTGAGAAGGGTTTGGGGAAGGCCTCCACATGTCTTATTGTTTACAGATAACCAAAATGCTGGCAGAGCACAAGTGGATAGCTTCAGAAAGAGCACTCTTTGGTCAGCCAAACACACCCTATGATTTCAAAAATAACAATCCTAAGGAGGCAGTTCAAAAGCTGCAGAAATTGCAGGACCGTATAGAGAAGTCTGGAAAGAATGTGAACCCAAGAGCTATGAACCTGCTCGCTGACACAGAGGAGAAGGTAAACATTTCTGTACTTTAACCTAAAAAGATTGTGTAGTTTGGGTATATGTTGTATACACCAAAAATAAAACTAGACTTTCATGAGATAGCACAAAATTTTTTGCTAGATCTTTTATACTAATCTTAACATCTTTGAACTGTTCACTTGCACACCAGTTTTATAGGTTATTCATAGTCTTGACTTTGGATGGTAAAAAGATTTATTTTATTATTTCCTACCCCAGTCCATCCTAAGCTGCAGTGTTAGGCAAGCTTTGTGGTATCTATTTGACTATCTGAGAACTATTTACTGTCGTAAAAGTTGCAGATCAAAAAATTATTCATCTTCAAGCATCATAGCTTGAAGGTGTTCTAGAATTATCTCAAACTGATCCGTATCTTCAGGCCATTCCAGGATTGTCTCAAAACTGCCCACTGACTCAAACTTAAACTGTTCTAGACTGTTTCCTCCTATCAGCCTCCAGAAGCACAATTTCTTCTATGGAAGAGCAAATGAAACATGATTGACGTGGAAGTGCAAGTTTCAGAGTACTGCTGGCCTTCCCCTTTGCCGATTGTTGAAAATTCCAATGCTTTAATTTGCAAACAATATCCCCAGATTTACCTCCTTCATGCAGCTAAATGAATGCATTGGATTTGTCTCATGTTTAATGACTATTTCATAGTTAAAAAAAGACATGGTAAAGCTGTAAGAGTAGCACAAAATTTATTTCAGCACAAAATTCATTGAAATTAATATTTTCTTCTCTTTTCTTTAGTACAATGACTTAATGAAGAAAAAAAAAACTGTAGAGTGTGACAAGTCAAAAATTCTTGCAGTTATTGACGAGCTTGACCAGAAGAAAAAAAAATCTTTAGACATTGCTTGGAAAAAGGTATGAAACTTGAAATCTAATCTGATGTTTTAGCAGAACATCAGATTTAGCTTAGATAACTGTTTTGTGTATTTCCATGGGAAAAAAGTCTCTTTTCAGAACTAATATCCCTTGCCTAGTATTAAATTAAAAAACAACCACTTCATTTCTCCTGTTTAATCTCACTTTTGAGAGAATAAGATATTCTCTGAGAATTGTACTTCACCATTCCCTTTCAGTGCCCACAAAAATTTAAGGAATATTATACTACTGGCCTGCTGAAATACAGGATTTTTTTATCTTAAAGCAATATTTCACCAGGGTTAAAATCTTCTGGTTCCCTGTAGCCCCATACAGTGTGGGGCTGTGGACATGGGGTACTGTTCCTGTTGCTGATAGGATACTTAATTTTGGGTTAGAGCAACATCTGATTTATGTTTCTATTACCTAAGCACTCTGCCTTCTTACTAGTTCTCTGATTAATGAAAACTATAAAAAAGTATAAAATGTTCTCTTTCTACATGGAAAGCTTTTGACACATTCTTTACACTGTACCAGGAGAACTTGTATTTTTTGGCCTTTGAGAAAATCAATTTTATCTAAGATTGAATTACACACATACAAAGTATTGGTTTTAATTATTATTGCCTGTACTCACTGACAAAACGGTACCTTTTCATTGCAAAAATCTTGTTTGGCAAAAATTGGTGAACTGTATTCCGAAGCATCATGGGTGGTGGAATAAGTGTGTTTTCAGATACATTCCTTAACTTTGAAGGTTTTAATTTGCATTTACAAAGTTGCATCTCATCCAATACTTGGGCATTGCTTAAGTAAACATGGGAAGAATAAGAGTGGGGAGGATGCCAGCGTGTACCTCTTACATGGTGATTATACTTTTAATAGTCCTTTAATTAATTGTGAGAAATCACAATTTACGAATTAATAAAACTGTGTTAAAGCATAACTGTTTCCCTGGCTGATAGCATAAAGAAGCCTTCCCATACTTATTTCATTTGATCCTTCTAAAATGCTTAGTATGAAGTGTCATATCCTTTGGCATTGCTTCTCTTATCGGTATAGGAAAAATAAGATTCTGTATGCTAGTATTTTCTCACTATCCTGTATGTCCTAATCTTCAAGACATGAGCCATTGGGTTAAACTGGGCAAGATGTCCTGAGCTTTGTGCAGCTTTTACCATTTTTGCTCTTTGGGCTCTTGATTCAAAGCACGTTCATACATCTTCTGTTTCTGACTTTTAGGTGAATGAAGACTTTGCTTCCATTTTCTCGACACTCCTGCCAGGAGCCAAAGCTATGCTGGTAGCCTCTAAAACCAACAGTGTCTTGGGTGGTGTGGAGTTCAGAGTTGCCTTAGGAAACACCTGGAAGGAAAACTTAACAGAACTTAGTGGAGGACAAAGGTTGGTGAATATATTTGTTTTCCATAGTGGTTGTGCGTATAACTGATACATCTAACTAATTAAAGTTCTGAAAAGCAAAAAATTTAATCTTTTCCCTTGTCGAGGTAGGGACTCTTCCTCCTTCTAAACTGACTCAATATTAGAAGCACTATTCATTCTTAGAATAATGCATCACTTGGTGTAAGATAACAAGATTTTACTCCATGAAGAAGTGACAAAAGAAATGAGTAGTAAGAAAACTGCAGTTAACTCTAGGTAGTACTGACATAGTGTTGAATTAAATGCTCCTCTCTTTGAACTGTAATCTTAAAAATCTATATAGACAAGATTTGCCCCAGTATAAAAGTAGTGTCGTGGCAATAGTTTTCATCTCCAGTGACTACAGCTACTGTGTAGGGTTTGTGCTGCTTTGCAAGTTAAAAAAATATAACAAAGCAGAAACAGAATTTTGGAAGAGGTGAGACAGATACAGAACTTTCTAAGAACAGAATACTTCAAGAACTGTACACTGAAAAACATCTTTGCAAAACCCAGAACTGAAAATAGAGCAGCAACATAATTTTAAATAATCATCAACCAACTAATCTGATATCTCAATAAAAAAGTAAGTAACATTCACCATTTCTGACGGAATGCATCACATTTTGAAAGGACAAGCTGTCATTCCATTGAGAGAGCATTTTAGAATCATAGAATTGTTTATATTGGAAAAGCTCTCTAATATCATAGAGTCCAACCATTAACTTAACACTGCCAGGTTGACCACTAAGCCACGTCCCTAAGTGCCACATCCATACGTCTTCAAAATCCCTCCATGGACAATGACTCAATCACTTCCCTGCATAGCCTGTTCCAATGCTTGATAACCATTTCAGTGAAGAAATTTTTCCCAATATCCAGTCTACACCTCCTCTGGTGTAACTTGAGGCCATTTTCACTTATTCTGTCACTTGTTTCCTGGGAGAAGAGACCAACCCCCACCTGGCTACAACCTCGTTTCAGGTAGCTGAAAAGGGCAGTAAGGTCTCTCCTGAGCCTCCTTTTCTCAGGTTTAACAACCCTACTACCTCCTCCTCACAGGATTTGTGCTCCAGCCCCTTCATCAGCTTCACTGCCTTACAACAATTGTTTTCATAAGCCAAAGCCTTTCAGACAAGAGAGTAAATCAGCTTTCTTTCTCCATCCTAGATCGTTGGTGGCCTTATCCTTGATTTTAGCCATGCTTCTCTTCAAGCCTGCCCCAGTTTACATCTTGGATGAAGTGGATGCAGCCCTTGATCTGTCTCATACCCAAAATATTGGGATGATGCTTCAAACTCATTTCAGGCACTCTCAGGTATGATCTTGAAACTATTGTGGTCATAGAATGGTTGGGGGTGGAAGGGACCTTGAAGATCATCTACTTCAACCCCCCTGCCATGGGCCCAGACAGCTTCCCCTGGACCAGATTGCTCAGAGCTCCATCCATTATTTCCAGAGGCAGTCTGCCACTGAGGACTCTGAGCTGTTCACCTGTGTGTTGCATTTCTGAGTTGTTTCAGCTGGAAGTTACACTGATGATATGGCAGTGGTGAAACTTAATCATGTCTTAATGTAAGCCATTGCTGCAGTGGTTAGAAGACAAGTAGTAATAGGAAAGAATATCTGTGACAGGATCAGTTTCAGGCATGACCAACACCCTGAATTTTTTTTTCCCAGAGTTCTTAAACCTGAGGTTAAAAATATTTCATGTTGACCCTAGTAAAATAAACCAGGCACTAGTGAAAAGAATCTCTATCACTGTGGCCTATACATGAAAAAAGGGTAGTATGTGTCTATTTGGTGTTAGGACCTTTTCAAATTATCAGAGAAAGGAGGGGAACATTTGTTACTGGCATGGTAAAATTATTAGAACAGTGTATTTTGACAATGAAACATCCTGCATTCTTACAAAATTAGTAGCAACAATTTTTTTCCAGTGTCTGATGCACCATGAATTGGTATCCAGCGTTATGGACTGTATCCCAGGCCAAGCACTGGGACAGGGACAGGGATATATGTTATTAGCTGCAGAAAATGTCTGTCTTGTGGGTCTGCTGGGCCTTGTTTAAAATATTTTCTTAAGAATTACCACCAAGTTTCTAGCCAAATAAAGTAAAAGGACTTCTCTCTTCAGAAGCCTTTTCTGTTGTTGCTTGAAGTCTTTATTTGGATGGCAGCATTTACTTCAAGCTTTTCTTGTTTTGTTTTAGTTTATTGTAGTGTCCTTGAAGGATGGAATGTTTAGCAACGCGAATGTCCTCTACAAGACCAGGTTTTTGGATGGTGTATCCACTATCACAAGATACGATCAAAGAAGACCTATTAGGTCTCCTGGCAAAAAAACCAAGAGAGCAAGTACAAGCCCTGAGAGACTATACGCAAAGCGGAGAAACTGTACCCTTCAGTGTGTAGGAGCAGGTTGTTAAGTGTGTTTTTATACTTTTAAACTGCTTTTAAAAAACATTTTTAAATGTTAAAGTATTTTTAGTGTTTTTACTTTATTAAAACCTCATAAACTAAAATTCAAAAGAGACTGTTTTCTGTACTATTTGCTAAGCTGACCACACCTCTTGGTATCCCATAAGTAATTCCTATCATCCCTCTGTAAGCATTTACACAGAAATGTATATAAGCTCTGTAAGCTTAACAGGAGGAACTGAAGCTGTAGAATGGTAGTCAAATCAGATTTTCCTCAGTGTTTTACAGCATTCAGAAGACCTGTTACAAAGTGCAAACACTATCTTCCTTGCCTGTTGTCAAATTCCAGAGAAAACTGTAGCGATTTTTGAGCAACTATAATTGTTATGGAGCAAAGCAATCATGAACCACTCACTCCCAAGTTACTTTAACAGTATTTGCAAATTGCTGTTAAATATTAATCTCATGGCCTCATATTCCATGTATATATAATATATACAAAGAATGTAAGAATGTACAAATAATATATACAAAGAATTTGTATCTCCCCTAACCCTGCCTGGTTGCAACCTGTGGGCTTAAAAAAAAAATTTAAACAAACACCTCCCCCCCACCAAACAACAAAACAAAACAAAAACAACAAAAAGCCAACCAACCAACCAAAAACGAAACAACAAACCCCTAAGTTCCTTCTAAAACTGCAGAGCTACCATCCATATCCATGGGGTGAGGGGCAAAGCAGAACAGTAGTGCACTTTGAGTTTGGAACACAAGGATGCTATAAAATACCCCAAGAGAAAAAACCACCACCAGTCACTTCGAGGAACAGGTCATGCAGCTTTTATTTAATTTTACCTTTTTGGTAAGCAGGAGGATTTTCTTTCAGTCAGACCATTCACATACTTGGACAGTACAGATTGCAGTGAATTTGATGGAGATCTTGCAACATTAGAAAACTTTTCTCAATATACATCCATTTAAGCAACGTCTTGTAAGTCAGAATGAGAGTGCTAGAGTCAAGTCTGCGCACTGCACTCCGGGTATACAAAGCATCGCAGCAGCACAAGAGATGCCCGTGCTGGGCAAAGTACAGTGTGTTTTACATAGTGCAATCACTTTTAGAGGAGAAACTCTAGGAAGGCCACATCTATTTACGTTTTTTTTTAATCCTATCAAGTTTACAAATGCGAGGGGGGTAGAAATCAAACCTCTGACTTAATTAACTTTTGTACAGGTAGGTTTTGTGTATAGGCACATGCTTTAGAGAGGAGCTCTGAATCTGCTCTGTAATCACGAGAAAGACATATTGCTTTGTGATTCAGAAAGTGTCATACCATCTCTAACCTTCCTAACACTCTTGGCCAGAGTTGTTAATCCAGCTGTTTATAGAGTTCCTAGAATACGCTCTTCCCTCTAGTATAAATCCCCAAAAGAGAAATTCAGGTTGCTATTGACAATGATTACAGTTATTCTTTGTACAGTCATTAGACCATACCAGGCATTGCCTCTGAATACTCCAGTCCACAGTGAAAACTCAAATTACCAGAGACATGGAGGCTCTTGCTTTTCTGTTACTGTCACTCACCAATATGAAAAAACCCAAGTCAGACAATGAACTGCTACAGCAAAGCATCACTGGTAATATTCACCTAATACAAAAAAAAGAAAACTCATGACACTACATGTCACGGTAAGCAACTTGTTAAAGATACTGCAAAGTGATTTGCCCAGTAAAATCTTTAAATGTACACTGTGCTCAATAGTTCAAACTACACGTAAACAAAGAGCAGCTCCCTGCAACAAGGTGTAAATCAAAACATTATAGCACCAGCTCCCAGCACCAAGGAGTGGCCCACTGACCAGTTCTAGTGTACAATGTGTAGTGCTCGCTGAGGTTTCTGCTACACGAGAGCCACAGTGGGACAGCTCTGCCTGCCCATTTCTTCCTGACATTTTCTTACCAAGTGTTCACAAATTATATTCCTCCCATGGAGAGCAAGAACGAGATTGTTACAGTACCAAAAAACACTGACAGGGAAATGGCACCTGAGGGGAAAGTAGGTACTGCATACCTGAATCTGAATAAATGGGCATGGAGGAAACATGATTTCTGTCATCTGAGCAACCCTCTCCCTAACAGAGCAGATCTGAAAGAAGCTGCAGACGGTAAGAAAAGAAACACACCTTCCTGTGCTGAAAGCCATGGATGTGATATTGCCCACATCAATGATTTTATTTCACCATCAGCAAAGCATTTATCCCCAAAAAGCTGTACACATACTGGTCAGGTTATGGAGCCGTGCTATCTTCACACTATTAAAAGTCTGTTGCTATAGTGGTCAGGTTTGTCTTTTATTGGAGGGGACAAAAAAAAAAAAAAAGAGATAGGCAGCATGGCCACATCACCATAGAGCAATTTTACTCCCATGTTACTGCAGATATAATCTTGCTTCTTAAGTGCAAATTAAAAAGTATTTGCTAGAAACCATCATGACTTGGGCTCTGATAAATGACAGATGATTCAGTTTCTTACAAATATTGACAAGTTTAAATTGTTACAGGTTTCCAAAGCAAGAACAAGTTTACGAACAGGAAGGGAATAAAACATTACCACTCTTAAAAAAAATGTGTCATTGCAAACTTCAAACGCTCTTCAAAAACATATCTAGAAAAGATTGTTTTCAGGGTTTTTTTTAATTTCCTGGAGGTGAGGAGTGTCCATGCAAAACAATTTTGAGAAGAGCAGTGTTCCACCTGGGTACCAGCTAGCCCCAACTTTGTCCCACACAGCTCAGTAAAGTGCTCTCTTGTGCATCCTTTGAGGAAAAAAGTTCTCATTTAAAGTTTGGGAGGCCGAGGTTGCCAGCTGGGGGAGGCATAATCTCGGTCAATCCATGTTGAGGTCAGAGAAGGAGGAAGGAGTTAAGTTAACAGTACTCTGCCTTTCATCATGCACAGACAACAGGCTGCAAGGGAGGAGCAAGCAGATGCAGAGGTGGGTGTCAGATGAAACCCTGCCCCTGGGAAGCCACAGGACTTTAACACATACATCATCAAGGGAAGCATTTAGTTCTCTTAAGATGAACACCAGTACTATTGCAGAGTCCTGAAGATTTACTGTTTATACACCAGCTAACAGATCTCTACATACACAACAAGTGAAAATCACATATGCTTTCACTTTCTGCATTGGTGGTTTTTCAACAATTCCTTTGAAGGACAAAGGGGATGTAACATTCTTTTGCCGATTTAAAGAAAAAAAGCATCTTGCCCTTGCATTTTTCATGTTGCACACTTACATTCTAGGGCAGACTGTTAGAGGTATTTACCAATAAAACAAGTAACCATCAGCTTAAAAGAGTAAAAATAACATTAAAGGGGAAAAGAAATTAAGGCATTTTTTATTTTGGCCAGGAATGATGCATCCTACAAAGTAATCTTCATTTCCCCACTTGGTTTTCAGACCACTGCACTTTTTGTTTTTGTTTTACATGGCACTTTGAAATTTACTTTTTACAACTTAATCAAGATTTTCAAGTGTTTTCTTCAATACAAACGCCCTCTCTTGTAGCTCGGGTCTGCTATCTGACGCCATCGTAGACAATGAACGAATGAGGTGCTCCCTGCTTTCTGGTGTCAGGCTTTCCCACTGTTGAGCTTCTGTGTAGATAAAGACAGACATTGGACATGAACATCAGAACACCAAAAAACCCCAAAAGCTCATCTCTTTCCCCAGACAGGCCGAAACAGCGACTGCCTTAACCTTTCCCTGGCAGTCCATACTGCGCTTTCAGCAGAACGCAAATTCAAGTGGACACTCAGGTGCACGTGCTGTCTCCTGCACAAGGAGTCCCTCTCACTCAGGCTAGTCTTCATCGTCTAAGCCTGTAACATGTGAATACAAAGGCCTGAAGAACCAAGCATTTCCCATGTTACAACTCCTTCATGAAAGAGGCATGTAAGAAGACTTGTAGAATAAAGGAAACATAAAATGCGTAACAGAAATCCAAAGAAAAAATTTGCTACAGTACACATACGACCTTGAGACCTGATCAGACTCATCCTCTGAAGTCAATTCTGCAAGGTTTAAATCCTAAATAACAATGAGGAACTAAATTTGACACTGAAAGGGTAGAAAGGAACAAACAGAAGCTCCCTCCTCTGTGGAGACTGAACATAATGCAGAATCTGACAAGACACTCACTCAGTTCTGTGTGCTCCCCATGGGACCCTCCTTGCTGAATTTTCCTCATCCAAGGAGTAACCAACAGTACTTTTTTAGACCTTGACTTCAGTCCCAGTTACTTCAAGCCCTCCCCAACTCCCAAGTCCCAGCTGCCCCAGAATCGCCCAGTGCTGCAAGCAGAAGGTAAGGCCATCTCTCCATGGTTCCGGCAACTCAACCAGGGGCCATTTTTACCCAACAGTGGCTCTTCAAGTGGCAAGTAAAAAAGTCTCACCTTGTAGTTTGGTGAGCAGCAGTTGTATCACAGATAAAGCTTCTGTTCTTATGGACGTGTAGCTTTTGTTTTCTAAGGGATTTAAAGAAAACAAACAAGAAAGCCCACAACCACATTGAGAACCAAATGCACACAAACTGTACAAAAAGCAGTCACCACTGTGGTCTCCAGACCACTTCTATTAGCACAATTCACTGAGCTCTCATTTGTGCTGTCAGTTTGCAGTGCTCCTCAGTTAGGCACATTTGAATGGCAGAAAGTGAACAATTGGAGGTTGACAAGTCAACTAAACCTTGTGCATTGCCCCTGCTACTACCACACAGCTCCTGTTCCTTACACATGCCAAAAGGGAACAAAACACTGGCACAGCTGCAGTGGGATCGCAGACAACTGTGCGTAACAGTCCATTCTGGGAAGTTGTACTGGTTATAGATCATGAAAATGTTAACAAGTAGCATTAGGTGAGGGTATATAAACCCTACACTATCAAGCACAAGTTTGTCACAAGAAGTTATTTGCTCTCTGAGCTAAAATCTTATTAAGGTGAG